GGGAGGTGAAACCAAACTCAAAACAGAATAAAGAGTTTAAACAACTAACAGAATCCATAACTACCACCCAAAAGCCTACCCCGTGACTCTCTTTTTTTCGCTTAGAATTATTTCATTTCCCGAACTAAAAACTAGTATATATTTTAAAGTACAAAAATGTCCCCTACCTTGCCGGGCTCAATGTCAAAATTCACAAATTCCCTGGTGAGTCGTCGGTCGTCAGGGCTTTCAGACCATGAGTTGGCGACAAAATTCATTTGGAGATTAGTGCCGGTACCAACGAATGCCTGAAAAAAAAATAGAACGTTGATGTGTGAAAGGAGAACAAACGAAAAACGGTAACATATCGTGGTGAGCAAAAAGAACATTATTAATAAATAATAATTGTGATAAAATAAGAGAGAAGGGCTGAAACAGTCAAGTTGATTAGAAGTGTACAGCAAACAAGCAGGGCAAATGCCTATATTTTGCCTTGAACAGATTAGAATATGAGGTAGCGCTAAAAAGATAAAGAGAGATATTTTAGGTCATATTATTTAAAGCCTTAAGAACGGCACAAACATTTTTTGTGGTGTCCTTTTTTTAGGCTTTAATACAAATATTTTGTGATCTCTCTAGTGACTAAGCTTCTTGCAACTTCAGTAATTTGTTCGTGTAAAGAAATAGAGCTCGCCCGAACGTCCAACGACAGCTAAAAATGAACAAAAACAGAATGGAAGGTAGAGAAATAATAATGATTATAATTATATTTTTTACTATTACGTGTATTATCATTTTATCATCCCTACATGTATTGATAATATTATTTCTATCATTCCTGTATCACAAAACTGTTAGGCCTACTATTTATTGATAGCAATTCTTATAATTATCATTATTATCATTATCATTATCATTATCATTATTATTATTATTATTATTATAATTATCATTATTACTATTATTATCAGCAGCAGCATTATCAGTATTATTAGTATTATTACTATCGTTACAGGAAAAGTTGCTCCATTTCGTGTTTGCCGCCAAGCTCCCTGCTTCTAAAGTCTCATGAATAAATTGATCTACACACCCTCTAGACATTTGTCTGCTTTTTTAAAAGAAAGTCTTTAGAGGCATAGTTATATTTTTTAATGCAATTTCAAAGCACCTCTCAAGAAAGAAGAGTGCGGAAGAGATGAAACTATGAATGAAAAGGGTAGGGAGTTACATAAACTTGGATCTCAAAGAAAATACATTATTCTTTAAACACACGGTACCAAACGGAAACAGTTTACAATTATTTTTCTTTCAGGGGTATAGCATGCATGACAGGATATCAGTCAAAAGTTTTGATTGATAACAGAAAGCATTCACGCATGTGTACACGCTTGTGTAGGATGGGAGGCGTATGGAACTTTTATATGAAAGAGTATGAGGTACAAATGTGCGTGTGTGTACGATAAAATATGTGTGTGTGTGTGTATGCGTGTTTGTACGTATGCACGCGCGCGCGCGCGAGTGTGTGTTTTGGGGGTGGGTGGGCATGGACTAGCTTTAGAGAGGATTTGACTTTGCAATATATATATATGGTATTTGTCCGTACAATTTGTCCATTGTTAAAAATGAAGCCTTTCGTTTCGGAGCACAAATAACAAACAAATAAATAATTCATAAATGACGACAAAATTATCGGCCATAACAAAAACGATGAAATGAAGAATAGACCCATCCACCAAAAAAAATTAAACAATTTTAATATGTATTTATATTTAAATATGAATAACACCAACACATCTACAAATACGTTTGAGAGCCTTATCAGTGAAGGCCTACGAGATAGCCCAGAACTGAAAAGATGAAAAGCCAGACAGGTTATTTACAACTTTTAATTTTCAGTTATACACTGTAGTTTTACAGCACTTGCAAGTCAATTAGCTCGTACATGTGCCGAAACATCTTAAACGATAAAACTTCTTTTGAGGCAAAAAAATAAAAAATAAATCCCAGACGGGTCCCTTTCAAAGCAGTGTTTAAAGACTAGCAACGGTAAACCCCCTAAAAAAACAACAACTCACTACTGCGGCCAAGATTGTGGATTACAAAACTTAAATTATAACACTTAAAATCATTAGATAATCATAGTTAAAATACTTTCTGAGGAACGGTGAAAAAGGAATGTTAAAAACAAAAACGCAGTTTCACGCAGTTTCATTTTTCCTTTTGTTGTTGCTGTTTGTTGATTTTGTTTTGTTTTGATGTAGCTGTTTTTTCTGGGGGGGGGGGGGGGGGGGGGGTGTTGGCTGTTGGTTTTTATATTTTCTTTTAATTAAAAAAAAAAGCCTTGCGATTTTAACAGATGAGAAAGTCAACGCTTTTCCTATCGAGAAAAATTGCAATCTTCCAAGGGGAATAAACGAGTTTTCTAATAAGCGACTGGGCATTCAAGAGTTGCTTATAAGGCGATAGAGCTTTTTATCGATGGAACAGACACAGGCGGGCCGAAAGATCTCGTCACCAGCCCAGAATTTCTCCAGAAATGGCTACGGTTCCTTCAAAGATTTGTATATTTATTTCCACGAATCAGAAAGACTACATCATTTAAAATTATTTGATATTGTTTCTATTGCCGGGTGCCGCTATTATTATAGCTATTATCATTTTTTAAATGATCCAATCTTTGTAAAAACCACATTTTAGCTCATATAAGAACAAACGTCTAGAAATAGGAACAAAGGAGGTTTTATTTGTCAGTCAATTGAACGAACCTTAAGCGTATCTGGGGCAGATTTTTGTTTCTTTTCAAATAAACGGTGAAATTTCTTTTTTAAATTTCGTATTCTGATGTCCACTGGGTTGCAGGAGATTCATTTTTGTTGAAGTTGTTACTGCTGTTGCTTGCAGATCTATACTCAACTACATCCGAAGGTTGTTTGGTTTTTGTTTTGTTTGTCGTGTTTTTGTTTGTTGTTTTGCTTTTTTCCTCTTCTGTGTCCGTTCTGTGATGTCGCGTTAGAAGATGTGCTCAGAAGATATAACATTTTAATTGTTTAAAAAAAATTAAAGTTGTATGTCTTGTTTCAATTTGTGAAAATGATGGGGATCTCGGTAGGGAGGGGTCGGGTCGGCTATCTTTTGTCTTGGGGTTTATTTGATTATTTAGACCCTAGGTGCTTTGTTTCAAACGTCGATTATTTCAAAGCTTTAGAAGTATAATATCATAATGATGATACTAGAAGAATGGAAAATAGGTGTCGAGAAGGATTCTTTTTTTTTTTTAAGTGTACGTGATCGACGCCCCCCTCGACATTATTTTTTGGAGTCGGGCTGCTTCGATCCTACGCTGAGAAAAAGAAAACAACTTTGGGAATAGAAATGCATATCACAGCTGATGAATTTTGCATTTCAAAATAATATTTCTAGTAGGCTACTGTAATTTTCATTTCATTTCTGCTTTGTTTTTCATCAATTTAAATATCTTATTCATTATACGTTTATCTAGACGTTTTGTAATTATATCATTAGAAAGTTCAACATTTTCTAAATGTTTGTTTATTTAGGGGTAAAATCAAACGATGAGAGAACAAATGCTGGAAAAAAACCTAGGTATTCCAAGTTATGCGGCAAAACTAAAATGGATGGTCACCATCGGCGGAGATGAATGTAACACTAACAGAACAGGTACAAACAAAATTAAAACACTACGAGCAGCAAGACTAAATATTAAGATACACTAAATCAAAGCTTGGCAGAAATACTTAAGGTGTTTTTTATATTTTTTAAAGAGAGACTTTGCTTTTCATTTCGACACTTGACCACCAGATAATAAAACCATTAACCATTATTATAACAAAACTGTTTGAACTATCTTATATTCACAATTCCCAGTACCAAAAAGGACAATAACAAATTATTTTTCAGTTTTGAGTTTCACACGGAAAAGACAAAGAAAAGCCAAATCGTAAAATTCTTTAATGATTGACTCGTTGTTTGGTTACTGATGACATGACTATTTTGTGAGAAGAAGATATTTCTTCTTGGTATTTAGACCTAGATTGATTGGACTACTATATATAAAATAAATAAATAAATAAATAAATAAATAAATAAATAAAATAAATAAATAAATAAATAAATAAATAAATAAATAAATAAATAAATAAATAAATAAATTTATAAAATACAATAAAATAAAAATAAAAAATTTTTAAAATGCGAATGGCCGAGTATGAGTTCTAAAAAATCTAAGTGAAGAGGATTCACTATCCCTGTAACATTTATTTCTCTACCACAATCAGTTTTTGAGATTGAATCATATGTGTCCGAGTGCCTTTTCTTTGTCTTTCGCCCCCCCCCCCCCCTTTTCCCTAACCAAGCCGCTCCCAAACCCCGCATAGATTCTACCTATGTTTGTTTTTCTTTGTGTAGTATGTCTCATATCGTCTTGTAAGTCCTTTTTCCCCTTTAGTTGTATTGACATATTAGTGAGCCGCATAACATAACAGTCAAGATAATACAGAAACTATTCTTTTTCTTATGTACAGTTTGACTCCAAATTAGACATTTATATAAAAGAGGACAGTTTGAGCATGACGGAGAAGGAAGAATTGAGGGTAAGTAAGAATGAGAGAGAGAGAGAGAGAGAGAGAGAGAGAGAGAGAGAGAGAGAGAGAGAGAGGGGGGGGGGAGAGGGAGAGAGAGAGAGAGTGAGTAGAGAGAGGGATTGTGGAGATGGGGTCGGGGGAGTATATTATTATGTTCCGCAAAATATTTCTAGATCTATATCATACGGCCTAACATAGAAATGAAACTACAATAACCTTATCTTAACCTTTTTGTTGCCCCCCCTCTCTCTCTCTCTCTCTCTCTCTCTCTCTATATATATATATATATATATATATATATATATATTATATATATATATATATCTCACCCTCACCATTAACTATTAACTATTCCCAAACATATAGGCCCAATGAAAGGGAAAGAATTGAGAGAGAGAGAGAGAGAGAGAGAGAGAGAGAGAGAGAGAGAGGGGGGGGGGAGAGGAGAGGAGGGGGAGAGAGAGAGAGGAGGAGGAGGGAAGGAGAGAGGGGCCCCCAAGGAGCGAAGTAGACGAACGAGAAGGAGTGCTTAAGACCAAGAGCATCTTGTTGAAGAATACCTATTGACTAATGTACAGCAAAATGAAATACAATACGTTATTAAATGTTCCGCAATTCGATAGAGCCCCAAGTTCCTATATAATACTCACTATTACGGATACTTTCAAAGGGTATTGAAGCCTACTTATTGAGGCGGACAACCGTAGTTTTCACACCATTGTAACGTTTTAAACTTTTAAAAACTTTTGCTTTGATACTTAAACGTCAAGGTCTAAAACAGAAAAGGCTGTGGTGGACTCCCTTTTCGGCAAATTTCCCACCTTCTAAAGATGACCCATAGGCTACTGGAATTCACCCTTTCAGTCCGCTAAATATTTCACGAGAAAAGTGAAGAACAAAACGTGTGTAGATGGAATATTTAACATCGTAAGCTCAAAGGAAATAGTGAGCCCTTCACGCATTCAAACACATAAAGAGCTTACCCCAAGTAGCTTGCTTATGCCATTGGGTTGGATCGCCGATCCCTCATTTTTAGCATTCCAATGTCCGAAGCGTATAGAAAGCGTTAGGCGCGTTCAAACGAGTCATGCGGGAAGTGTTACTACTAGGCTTTACGCCGGTACACGTGGAGAACCGCCCACGTATTACGGAAATACAGTTGTAAAAAAAGTATGAACATTAACCAAACATACATAACAAAGTGGTACAATGCGCCGGTAGTGAACCTGTATATCTATAAGGAGTGTATCGTAGGTCGACAATCAGTTAAGCGTAATCTAAAGCGATTAGTAAGAATCGTATGCCAACTTACCAGATCTGCGTGCCCTTCCCTACACTCGGCTTGAAACCTCAACTGGCGTTCATCCAGAGGTCTATCACGAAAACCAGTATACCGCACCTACAGAAGAGAAAAGAACAACACAAACTTAATCCTGGTATGAAATCACACATGAAAATTTAACCTCAGATGAACTGAAAACAACAGAACTTTATAATCACAAGCCGAACTGAACGCGATAAGGGAAACACTCCTTGGAAATCCCGCGAGTTATAAGTAAGAAAAGAACTATGTCACACCCGATACAATAATTATATTTCTTACCTCACTCTCTCTACTCAATTTTCGAAATAGTTCATCGTTATCAAATGTTGCCCTTTGATCGGGTACAACCCGAGGCATAGTGGAAGTAAACTTCTCACTCAGTTCACAGCACAGTGTCTTCGCCACGAATGACAACATGCTGTCTGATGGTCCTTCATTCATGTTCTAGTTCACAACTTAACGTGACATGTTGCTTCATACTTCCTTAATTTTCATTGGTCGATATTCTGTCACTCGGGCGGCTTCCGATTTAAGCCGACAACGGAGTTTACCTTATATGGGCTATTTACTTCCGCTGGTTCCGCTACGTCATATTCAAATTCCATTCGGCATTAGTCGGCTACTCAATATTCAAAAGGTGTGCTATATAAGGAGTTTCCCGTAAAATGACTAATGTATGCATCATCCGTAAAAGGCAAGCGGTGACCTGATTTTTCAATCCGGTAGGGGTCGGAGGAAAAAACGGAGCGGCGGAAATCCTCATCGCCGTGGCTTATTTTGTAATCGATGGCAAGAAAACCCTCTCTTGAGGAAACCCCCCACACTCCAGCTGGGCGGAAAACACCTCGAGTTCCCCCGCGCAGACACGGCGTGAGCGCTCGCGGGGCTGACTGAGTTTCCTCACTCGTGTTTCTGTTTCGCAAAATTATTTCAGCGAATCAACTCTTCACCCTCCCTTCCTGTCTGGGCGCCTTTCTTCTTTTGATTCTTCTGGGGCTGGGTTTTTTTTAGTGTACAACTGGTTCATATCTCCGAAGCGGTCGATGGTTCCAGCTGACAAAAGAAGTGACTCGAATCTATCTTTTCTATTTTATTTTTTTCCTAAAGGTCATGTCAGTGTAACACCGTAGTATCGAGCGCGGTTGAATGGAAGCTGGGCGCTTTCCCACGCATTGATTCTAAAATGTCAAACACAATTTCCTGCATTGCGCAAAATGCTTTTAATTATGCTTTTATGGGAGGCGTTTTCTTAACATTGCAATAGCTTCTCTGTTATATCAATATGTACCCGAAGCCCACGTAATTTTTATTGTATCGATTGAACAAAAGTCCAACAGCTATTTGGCCTACAGATGCATCTGAGCAATGAGCATCTATGCTCAGGCGTACGGCAACGGTCTCGGTCTACCATTCAATTTTAAAAAGTAGTAGTTGTAGTAATAGCAATAGCAGAAGCCTCAACAGCAGCAGCAACAACAGCAGCAGTAGTAGTAGTAGTAGTGGTAGTAGTAGTAGTAGTAGTAGTAGTAGTAGTAGTAGTAGTAGTAGTAGTAGTAGTAGTAGTAGTAGTAGTAGTAGTAGTAGTAGTCAGG